GGTAGGTGTTGGAAGTTATGTTTACAATAATTAACCCTGCCTGTAAAAAGCTGGCAGATCTCATTATTAGTTAGAACTAGTTTAAACTAGATTTAAACACTTTCTGTCCTAACAATGGGTTTAGGTTGTGAAAGCATTGTATGCTAATGAGATGACGCTTAGTCTGTCCCTCAGTTTGATCCTCTACTTTCACTAACGCACAGCTAGAGTAGCCAGCAATCTGTACAAAGCCCTTCAACAAAGAAACATCTAAAAGGGTAGAAATATATTTGTAAAAAATATGTTTACATATGTTTTGTGAATAGGAGCACATAACAAAATATTGTGGGGTTTTCTCCAATTTGACCTCAAAAGTAAAATACACTTTAAGGCTCATTTACTGCTTCTTTAAAATATGTAAATATTTGAATGCCCATAGTTTAAGGCACAGGTGGTCCATAGCAAAACAAATTGTATTTGGAGCACAGTACATGAAGACTCACTAGAAGGATCACAATTAAAATTGGGATATATAGAAATTAAAATAAGAATGAAAATTGAAGGGACCTGATAATGGCATTAAAGCTAATTCCTATTTCAGCAAACATGGGTGGATTGGTTTTCTCCCACAAATCACAAATATGAACATGTCACTACAGCCTGAGTGGATTTCCAATAATGTATTTTATGGCTGTAGTTCACAAAGTTATTTGATCCATGGAGTGAACTACAAGAAACCTAATTCACATCTTTACTCAAATGTTTAATATAAAAGTGTATCTTCTCATGTTTTTATTAGTATATCTACCAATTTTGTCATGGTCCTTCTATTAAATTAATCTCCATTATCCTGAACAATCAGTTTAATTTTGACCACCCTTTATACACACATAGAAATACGCAACGTCTTAGATGAGAACCGTAAATAGACTAGGCAATGTAATGCAATAATACATAGAAAGCTCAAATCCAACAGTTTTAGCTATGCAATGCTGTAAAAATATATTTTATTGACGTTTATCATTTTATTTGAGGACTTCTTCAGATAGGTTTATATCCTTACCAGAGATTTAAAAAAAAACCATTATGTTGGTCACACATATGAACATTTAATGTAAGACCACTTTAGACCATGTGCCCGCCATATAGCACACTAGTTAAAATGAACTGTACCAAAAACCTGTAGAGAGTGAACTTGCTACCATATGACTTTCACTCAAAAAGGTAAAAATAATAAATTATCTGAAAATCTAAAAAACAGTGGGTAGATTCAATACATCATTTGCTTTTACTTCATGGCACAAACACTTTAGCATTTTAAACTTCATAGTTGGCTTGCCTAAAGCACAAAAACAAATTTGTTCACAAAAACAAATGCCACAATTACCTGCAAACAACTAACAAATGCTTATTATTCTTTCTGTCTGTGCCACAAAAAATGCTACTATGAATAGCACTTCTGGGAGTGTTAATGTTCTGTGTTTCCTGCTGCCCACAATGGTTCTGCCTGCCATCCTCTATGTCACTTTCTCTGTACTAAAAAAAATGGGCAGTGGAAATCAGCTTAATATTTCCAACCAAACTGATCTAACATTTACTGATTGGGTCTTAAGAATTTTTGTGTCAGAAGTGTTACTATATGCTGTGGATTCCCAGCATAAAATCAGGAACCACCGGTTTTCCAATGTAACAGCAAACTTCAATTCCACAACAGTAGCATGGTCTGCTCTGGCTATAATTACACTTTGCATGTGATTGCTGCTCGGGATTGTTAAAAATGGCAGGTATTAGACAATGGGAGGCCAGTGGGTACCTTAATTAATCTTCTCACTAATTAAATCACTTTTCTATCTGCTGTGAATTCATCTGAAATCTGTGCGTGTGGTCAGCATGATAACTGGGTATTTGTTTACATTTAGCACATTTAGTTGACAAGAAAGATAAGACAGGCCTTTCTGAAACCTGGTTGTTTGGATATACTTCCAAAGAGAAAAGTGCATTTTTTTCTAAAAGTAATATATATATATGAATTTCACATAGTTTGCCTGTGTCATTGCAAAATCTTAGCAGCATTATTCAGCCCAAGAGTATTATAGTTATAACTGCATTCCATCAATTTGGATTCTCTCAAAGAGACTCAAAGTAAAGACTGGAAATATAAAACACAGAAAAAAAAGTATCTGGGCTGTTTCTAAGACAGATATTTTCATATCTATTAATTGTAAATTCCACAAATATTCTCTTGTGTAGCTCAACACTGTAAACCTCCATGTCAGATCTTTTATCCAAAGTAGATGTAAGTGGTGTTGGTAGAGGTACATCGAGGAGGTGTTATGTTCTTTAGGCTTAGACCTTAAAGGAATTATGATCAGCTACTAGCAGGGATTTGTTAACTTCTTTTGTCATACTGCTTGAGAGACTCCATTTGGTATGCTTTTTTCTTTCTCAGGTCTATGTTGTTTCCGTTTTAAAGCCAACAGCCTTGGGCAAACGTGTTCCCCAGCTTCCACCAATTACCTTGTGACTTGTTGACTCTTCTGTACTAAGACCCTCAATAACTTCATCTCTTGCTGCTCTTCCACCACGAGCAGTCTCCTCTTGAACTTGGGTGACCTCTGTGTGTCCAGCATAAAAACCAGCTACAGTATTGGCAGTTTGCACTGCATGAACCTTATTGCGTGCACGTTTTTGAGTCAGCATACATGTAAAAACTTGTTTAAATCGCTTACGGAAGTGCTTAGAGATAAGGGCATACACAATTGGATTGAGGCAAGAATTAGCATAGGACATACAGTGAGAGACCAGGCGGAAGGCATACGTAGCTCTATTGAAGGGAAAGTGTCCAAACCAGAAGCACAGGATGACTAAGTGGTGAGGTAGCCAGCAAATACAGAACAACACAGCTACTATGATAATCATTTTGGTTACTTTATGCTTGGCCTTTCTGGATTCAGACACCGTCTTCACAGGGTCCACTGAAGTCCACAGGAAGCAGATGGTTCTGGCATAGGAGAGACCAAGAATAAGCACAGGGAGTAGGTAGCCAAAAACAAAAGTAGACACATCCATTATCTTCCTCTTACGATCTTCCCAGTTAGGAATACAAATGGGTACTTGATTATAGAGAATAATATGGTAGTAGCTTAGATAAGGGCCAGCAAACAGGATAGAAAGGGCCCATATAACTGCAATAGCTGCAAGGGCATTTCTAGAGGTACGGAGGTCTCTGGATTTCAGTGGGTAGCGGATAGCTAAGTACCTGCGGGGAAAATAAAGAATGAACAAGAATCAGATTAAATTTGTAAATGTCTGATATACTGTAAAATCAAAATTATGTGGGCAACCTGAATTAATCAATATAATATAGTAATATGCGATCTTGATTTGTTGATCTGTTAACTCTGTTAATAAAGAATTAACTGTTATTTCCTGATGCAGATTGGAAAACATAAAATGCAAGAATATAGGCATTACACATTAGAAAAAGTAAATTAAATGTTGCTTAGTGTTTTTAGTTTTCGGTTGAGTATGGGAGGGATCGATTATTTGTGGAGATTTTATTGCTATCAAGTAGACATGTAAGCCGGCATTATTAGTTATTTCTGTCATTTGAAAATTTGGATGCATCGCATTTACAGAAATTTGTATGCCTACTAACGAGTGGGAGATCTTTTCAATCTACAGTGTCTATGACAGCTAGAGCACTTCTATGAGTTGAACCTTCTGCTTTGCCTTTCACAACCACTTACATTTTATATTATAATGAAGAATCTACTAGATCCCCAGTGACATCAGCATAATAAATCATAGCAATATATAAAAAATGAAATTCAGTTTTCAGCAGAGGAGTAAATAGTGTATTCATTGTTATATTTTTAGGATGGTCGTAAGCGTGCAGATACCTTACTGATTATGACAAATAGTGAGACATTGGTCAACACATGTAAGCTGTACATGGATAGTAAAAGCATAGGGGCTAATTCAAAACAAGTGGCATATTGAAATGTGTACACCATTACCTTGTACAACACTTTACAGAAGCCTTTTTGACAGCTATTTTCTGTCACATTTGTAAAGTATTTAAAAGGCTAAATGGCATATAGGAGTAACCGTGAACTGTCACAGGAAAAAAATACCCATGTTTTGGATGAAAAAAAGTGAACACATCTGCTGAAATGAAACAAACCTGCCAAACGTAGGTGGAGAAGGGGGGACTGTATTACAAGTAATCATGTACTACACGTAATCATGTTCACCATGGTAATTTTCATACCATGCAAACATATTTGCTCAACATCCATATATAATGTGGTATATTTTTATAAAATACAGAAAAATGGCTAAAACAGCCAGGAAACAGTTAATGAATAGCGCAGTGGAAAAAGGGTGAACTGAAAATTCCCCTAGTAAATAAAACTATTGAACATGCACAAATTGAATGAAAAAAATAAGCAGTAAAAGAAAACAGTCAAAAATGTGCTACACAAAATGTGCTATTTGACCCTTTATTGTTAGCCCCTTTGGTTCCCTTTCCTTCACAGAAAATTAAGCAAGCAGCTATCGGTCACAAACATACTTCCAGCATGTTGGAAAACAATTGATCTCAATGATTGGAAACAATCTGTCCTACAAATCAGCGCATACGAACTCAGCAATTGCAACCTCTGAATTTCTCTCAGTACAGGCTTCCTTTAATAGTAGTGGAATCATAATGTATAAGTAATTGGATGACATATGCAGGTCTTGAAAAAAATAAATGAATGCTTGAATTTTCGAAGTTACTGAAGAATTGTGCTAAGTGGTTGTTGACATCCAATTTACAGAATCAGATAAGTCTGTAATGTTAATGTCCTTCTAGCACAAGCAAAACATTCACAAGATCAGTAACAACTCTAGAATTACTTGTAAATGGAGAAACATTTTTATCATGACCTTTTCATACTATTACTTTAGTTTTATTAGTACATAGCTCTGTTTTTAAACACTCCTAGATGTTTAATTCCACAGGAATTATTTCTTCTAAAATACTATGCACTTAGGCCTTGTTCACACCAAGCGCGGAGCAGGTGCAGAGCAGAGCAGTTACAGACCGGATCAAAACTGCGTCCAATGTATTCCAATGGTATTTTTTGCTCCAGTTCACATTGCAGTGTGCAGTTCCAGAGCAGGTCCAGAGCAGGGGAAAAAACTGCAGCAAGCCCTATTTTACCTGCTCTGGAACACATGCAAACGCATCCAAAATGCATGCAAATGCCTGGAACGCACTGAAAGCCCATGTTAAACTTTTGTTACCAAAAACGACCCGGAACGCATCAAAAACGCGGCACAACCCACTGCACTGCGTGTGCAGAAACCTGAGCGATCTGCTCTGCATTTGGTGTGAACAAGGCCCCAGGTTTGCAACCACAGTTGGGCCTTGTATAGTGCAAGTGGAACCTCCAATTGTGATTTACCTTGTTTCCAGCACAGTACTCACTGCTGTATCTCTCTCTTGCAGTGCAGCCCATGGATGTCTTTTAAAGGTTTATTTCACAACAAGGGGGAACATGGGTGGATGAAAAACTCAGTCAGTATCACATCTTCTCAAAGATGACAGTCTCTGGATGGGGCTCATACATCTTCTGTATACAGCAGGCAGAAGTGGCATCCAATACAACAGAGGTTTCTGTCTTTTCTCCATGCCAGGTAGTGACTGCAGCATCAGACTAGTGGAGGTTCAAGTGTTACACCATTGTCCCCAGCAATATCTCTTCAACTACTGGATCAACACGGGGGAAGTCCCAGACCAAGATAGCTTTAAGTGTGGTTAAGTGTCCCTAGTGATATTCTTTAGCAACAAGATCAGCGTGAGTAAGATTCTATGGTATTAGGTAGGAATTGGTGTCCCCTTAGGACCTTTCCCGAAGTCTGCTCAGGATGTTTGTTATAGCTAGGCCGAACCCACCAATGAAAAGTTTAACAGTCATTTTGCATGTTTAAAAAACATGCAAGGCCTGCCCATGTTGCATCTCAGCCCTCTGGATCTCTCAACAGAGTCTGGCAGATGATACATCATAGGAAACTCCTGAGCACATCCTAATATAGAAATCCTTGCACTACAGCAAATCTGAAAATCAAGAGCAAATTTAAGAAGGTAAATACCCCTAGACTGATTTGTTTGCAACTAGAGATGAGTATGATTGGCAAATTGCAATGTAAAAAAATGTTTTTCATTTTATAGTGCAGTAAATAAGTGAGGTTAAAACATTGTTTTTCCTTTAATGACTTATTAAAACAGATGTTCCCAGGTATTGTGCTAAACTGATATATGCCACATTCATACATATCTTTTACAGTCAACAAGTTCCATGATCCTGACACATTCATTACTGCAGATAAAAGTCAAAGCTGTTTATATGTAAATCAAATGAGTCTAAAATCTGCTGTAGGTATAATCCCCCTACTGATCCCTGTGCCTGACACTGGCAGGGACTAAGTCTAACTGGTGCTAATCAAGGTCAGATACCTACAGGCAGGCAGACCAACTGTAAATATACAGTAAACAGTATGTACTGTTAAATAATAAAAATAAAAACTAGAAACCAAAATTTATAAATTATTTACCTATATTTGCCATCAATTACATTTAATATAAGTGGCTATAGAAAAGCTGTTTATGTGGATGAATAAACTGGACTTTCTATAAAAACCCAGGGATAGCCTATGTGCTTGGTGCAAACATTTATATAATCTAACTAGCTGTCTATCGAACCTTTATATTGTTGCTATAAAAGGCATTAGTATTTTGTATAACTAGAATTGCCTTTGGGGTGGAGATTAGAGAGGCAGGGCATATTCACACTTGTGCGTTGCAGCAAGGTGTGCTAAAAAGCATGTTATGGGTGTTTGCTCTGTGTGCAGTGTGTTGCAGTGCATTCATCGTGATTGGAACACCAATGCATTGTATAGTAGAGGACAATGCACCGCAGCACACCACAACACACATATAATCTGTTGTGGTGTACGGTGTTGCTAAAAATGTGTTGTGTACATTTTTTGATCCATGCTGATGCATTGGCAGGCCAGTTATAATGAAGGCTGCATTGTTTGCAGGGATGATAGAGGCTAAGCACCCCATGCAAGCTCAAAGCAATTTAATAGTTTTAACCTTTTTGCTGCCAAGGACTGCTTAGGCTTATGTTAGAACAAGACCACTTGTAGCTGGCCAGCTTACTAAGCCTCATGTCCTTGGCATTCTCTCTTCTGCTATAAGCTCATGGTTTCTTCAGTGACCATGATTTTATAACAGAAGGGTTCCCCAGACTCTGCTGAGTAAATGAGTAGCTGTGGTCAGTTGAAAAGCTGAAAAAAATTGGTAGCATTTCTTTGTCCATTACTCAGTCCAGGGCTGCATGAGAGAAGGAGATTGCGGACCTCAACCTCTTTTTCTATGTCAAAAGTAAAATATATGTTAATAATAATAATAATAATAATAATAATAATAATGACAAATTAAAGAATAATAAACAAAAATGAAATAAACCCCGACACACACACATACATGCATATAAATTGCATACATTGCGGTAATGCACTGCAGAGCACCAACTAAGGGCTTATTCACACCAGCTGGAACGCATTATGGTGCACATAACTAGCACTAGCGTTGTTAAAATGCATCACAGTGCTTGATTTTCTTTTCTTCTTTTTAAACTTTCTAAAACATGACATTAATTCAACTCTGTGAGCAGGAGTTTTCTGTTCTACCAGACAGGGTTAAAGGCCTGAGTACATTGGGGGGATTTATCAAATGTAGAAAAGACAGAACCTGAAGCAGTTAATCAATCGGCTTCTTTCTTCAGTTTGTTCACTTATGATCTAAAAATAAAGGTTAGATGCTGATTGGTTGCCATGAACAACTGTTTGGTCTGCTCCCGTTTTGATCAATTCCCCCCACCATCTATTTTAACCACTAGAAGCTGCCTGTTAAGTCCTATGTATACCACTGATCCAAAGAAACAGCTAAAAAGGTAAGAAATATATTTTATTTTTTTATTGTTAGTTATGCTGTGTGAATGGGAACACATAACAAACATATAGAGGTTTCTCAAATTTGGCTTTCAGATGGACTGACACCAAATTCTACCTCCATTGAGACAGTATTCTACTTGCGGCCAAACTGTCCTCCAAGCACCATTGTTGTGAAATTGTTAAGATTCGCTCTACTAATGGTGTGTATACTCACAATCGTATAGCTGACTTTTAAGAATTTCCCAAATC